TAATTGAAAGTCTCGTTTACTTGTATCGAGCGACTGAAGACCCTTTGTTGCTCCAGATTGGAGCCGAAATGATTGAGGCAATAGATCATGCGACGAAAGCTAAATGTGGATACGCAACGGTATGTTACGTTTTACTGCTTTTTTACATGTAAATTTGCCTGAATTCAAAGACAAAATTTTGTGTTTGTGCATCGATTACTCTAGTACAGTAGGGTTAGACTGACGTCAGTAGGTTGCCGATGGCGTACCTAAAATGGGTGGTTTGAATCCTATTGGTATCGCCTACCTTACATTCTTCCGAATTATGTAAGTGAGTACCACATACTTGGAAAGGAACAATAGACAGCACTGTCGTAATTACTCAACTGTATCTGTTGCTTTCGTAATTTACGCATTTTTGGCAGATGGCATGGTAACCTGTCAGCGCCATCTTGAAAGCTCACAAAACAAGAATCAGTAATCGTTGTGTCCATCACAGAATTGAACCTGAGACAGTCCATTTTTTACAAATTTTAGTTTTTCTTTAACTGATGAAAAACGCACACCAGCATTTCATCCTGAGCAGTTAGTGGCAAGCCCTCTTTCTGGCTATCAGCTTCAGCGCCAACACTTGCTGGAAGTGGATTTGCCAACTTTACCCTGAGGAATATGTCATTAAGAGGAGTTATTGATCGATTACGCGGATAAATTTATTATGCCTAGCAGATGATGTTGAATGAAGAATATGCGTGTCTTGCATGTATTTTTATTTGACACCTATTTAAGGTTCACAACGTTGCTACACATTCGCTTGAGGACCGGATGGAATCGTTCTTTCTTGCCGAAACGACCAAGTATCTCTACTTGTTGTTCGACCCGGATAATTTCTTGCACAATTCGGGCGAAGAGGGTACGATGATCAGCGGTCCTTTTGGAAACTGCGTGATCAATTCAGGAGGTTATGTTTACAACACGGAGGCGCACCCGCTCGATCCTTCCATTTTGTACTGCTGTAGTTCCAAGCGACAAAAGGAGTTCCAAACGTTGGCTTATTTGGAGGATAAACTCGACGTTATATCATTGCTAGACATACGAAACGAACCGACAGTCAAACATCCCGTAGAAACCGAGGCTTTCCAAGTCCTGACAACCGTAAAGAACGATAAGTAGGTGCCGAATTTTGTTTTGCATCGAAGTGAGCGTAAGATATTTTTTCTTCACTTGTCGTAACGGTCGCTCTTCGTCATGCGTATGTAATGATGATGACTTACAGTGAGAATTATGATAACGATGAAGTAGTGGTAATGATTATTATGATGTTGGCTGTGGTGATGATGATAACAGAGTTTGGCATGATACAACTTTTTCTAGATCCTAAGTACATAGTAAAATTTCCTAGAAGCTCTGAAATTTGTGCAAGTTTAGAAAGTACCTAGACAAAGTTTAGAAATACAACTGATAAGCACACACAATACTGAAAAGAGGTGTATATATATGTTGAAGATATACAGAGTTCTTAGTAAAGGCTCAACGTTTCGAGTAGAAGTCACTTAGTAAAATCTGAATGGAAATTTCAAAGTAACAGTAGAGATT